GGAAAGAAGGAAAATGGCGACCGCTCCCCCTCACACAAAGGAAGATTGACCTCCTCTTCCCCTCCCCGCACCCGCACGCTGCATGCCGGGAGAGGTAGTTCCCGTCTCCCACTCCGCTCCGCCGAAGACGAGGTGCCAGGACTCCACCCCCCACAAGGCCCAGTGGCCGCGCAGCTTACAGCCGCCGCGCCGGGAGTTGGAGTGCTTTCCATCGCCGCGGCCGCCCAGAGCACCGCGCCCCTGAACTCCAAGCCCCAGCGGCCCCTGCGAGGGAAGGCCAGTCGCGCGGTGCACATTGGGAGCCGTAGTGATGTCGGGGTTCGGGCCCACCAGTCCGCTCCCTTTCCCTCCCTCTCTTTAGGCCCCTGCCTGGAGACAAACGGAAGCTGGGGAGAGAAGAGAGCGAGGGAGCCCGCTCGGCCCAGCAAGGTTCCCTTTCTCTCGCTTCTCCCTCCCTTCCCGCCCCCCCCGCCTCTTTGCGCCCGTCTGTCAAACGAGCAGGGCACACGGCGGGTGGGGGAGGGGTTCCCCCCGCGCTAGACCGTTGGTCCCTGGGACAGAGTGACAGGCGACATTCCAAGCCCCCTCGGCTCTCCCTGCCCGCCACCGTCAAGGTCGCGCCGGGCGGGCAGAGGAGGCTGCCGGCCTCCCGGCAGGGACAACCCCACTTACCCCAACAGCTCAGCGCCCCCGCTCCAGCGCCGCCATGAGCAGCACGGCACAGCACGTAGGAATAAATCCCGGCTTCTCGCGAGACTCGCGGGCAGAGAGGAGGGCGGTTCCGCGCGTGCGCAGCAAGGCCGGGCGGGGGGGGGTGGAAGCGGGAGCTCGGGCTCTAAGGGAGGCTTCGGGATAAGTAGCCGCGCAAAAGTGCATGCGCGCCTTTGCTCTCCGTTTACTTATTGGCCGCCTTTCAGGGCAGCCGCTGCTTAAAGGGACGCCGTGCGGTATTGAGATGCACCAATTGCATCTTTATTGCAAAATGTGAAAAACATGGGTGTATGTGTAACAAAGGTCATGAGAACCATGAGCCCGGCAAACGGAAGGCACCTAATCAAACCAGCACAATGACACAATAACATTGCAAACCCTCCGCGGAAGGATGTGAACTGTCCAGTTGTTTTGCAGCAGGGACGGAAAACCTGTGACCCTCCAGATGTTGCTGGACTGGACTCCCAATTCCCACCATCCCTCACGCAAGAGCCGGTTGGATCAGGCCAGCAGCCCATCTAGCCCAGCATCCTGTTCCAATATTGGCCAATCAGATGCCTATGGCTATTAGCCCCAGTGCCAGGATGCCCAATGTCTGCAGGCATATGGATGGCTGCTAGCACCACCTACCCCACCCCACCCCACCGCATAATTTCACATACCTACAATGCAGGCAGTTTCCAGGCCGCAGTCTAGGACTACCATTTTTTATTTTCTTGCATGCCTCTTGTACTTCTAAGCAGCTGCACAACAGACAGGAGATTCAGCAGTGGAAGCTATACCCATTTCCATGCAGGAATAAGCTTCACCTGTTAACCATCTTGTCCTTTCCCTCAGCCAGCCCTGCATCTACTTCCTTTCCCTCAAGTAAGATGGGTAGATGTGTCCAATTCAGAATGATGTGTAGCGATTTGTAGCCTAAAGGCACTGGGAATTACCTTGCATTGGCAACCATAACTATTGTCAGCTTTTCTAGTTTCGGCATAGTGTGCTTTTCCACACCTCTCATCCCTCCATTACTCTTATTTTTCCTGGAAGTAAGAAGCATTGATAGGGCAGGTTGAGCAGTCTAAACTAAGCTATTTCAGCTGCAGACTAATGTGAAGAGTCAAAGCAGCTTGTGTAATAACCTATGTAAGCAGAGAGTCTCATTAACACAGAGGAATACTGCTTGAGCATGCCCTAAGGCCCCTGCAAAAATACTTGGGGCTAGAAAAGGGGAATGGCAGAGGGAGAATTAACAATGCTTTATGCAGAGGAAGCAAAAGGCAGAGGAACGGGAAGGCTGCAAGAAAAATGAACGGAGACAAGAAGACAGGGAACAAAGGATTTATAATGTTTCACAGGGCTATCATTTCCTCCTCTAATACATTTTAAATCCCTCTTTGTTCACCACCACAAATATCTCAAGGTTCATGCTGGAAACATCCTTGCACTTTAGGAGCTGCCTATTGGCTCCACCTTTTTAGTTCTAGCTTACTGAATGGCTGCCTCCATTTACAATAAGAGTATCTGTAGAACTACCTGCAACATGGGAAACTGCCTTATACTGAGTCAGACCGTTGGCCCATCTAGTTCAGTGCTGTCTACCTTGACTGGCATCAGCTCTCCTGGGTTTCAGGCAAGGACCTCTCTCAGCCCTACCTGGAAATTGAACCAGGGACCTTCTGCATGCAGAGCAGATGCTCTATCTGAGCTACACTTGATCCCCAAATTGGAATTGCAGCTTCCTACACCTTTGACCACCAAGAAGCCTCCAGTTCCCTTTTCTATAAAACACAAACAAATTAGGTCCTCTGTGCAAGGTGTCACATAGTAGTCTCAGTCTCTCTCTCTCTCTCTCTCTCTCTCTCTCTCTCTCTCTCTCTCACACACACACACACACACACACACACACACATCTATCTATCATCTCCCACACAACAGCAACATTGCATGGTACATCACTTTGCTTAGAAGTAGGGTAAATAAACCAAGGCTAGTCAGACTAGTTTAGCCTGTTGCATTGGATTATAATTGCAACTCCATAATAGTAATTACTATGTATCAGCAAAATATGGTATGCAACTTCCTTAACTGGATTTAGGAGCGCACATAAATTACTTTTTGTGACAGCTATGCAGGATATTGGCATGCCATATCTAACAACAGTGGCTGTTGACATAACCCTGATCGTGTCAGTGAATTACCTTGAAGCGGGTTGGGATGCCCTGTCCTTATTGACTCAAAGCCAGTGCTTTTAGTGAACCAATCAGAGGCTTGGACTCCAGTCCCAACATGCACACACAGAAGGTATTTCTGCACACTCATGAGAGGGTTGCAGATTCCCCCCTCTGCAAATGTAGTCTCTCCCCACCCTCCAAACCACTGGATCGTTCTCCAACCTTCAGGAGATCATTTTTAAGGGTGTATGGTGTTGCTGCAATGAAGAATGCAAACAAGGCCCCCTTCTATGAGCCAAAGCAACCTCATTCTACTTTTAGGTCCAAACCATTATGAGCATCACTGTAAAATTAGGTGCAATCTTGGGCTGGTAACTGAATGCCTATTTTCTAAAACAAAGGTGTTATTTTATTCTTGCAGTGGCTGTTAACTGCAAAGCAATTTTCAGCTAGAGGCACACTTATGAAAAATGTAGACAAACTTGATTCTTGATTTGTGGGAGGTAGGAAGCCACAGATTATTTGCAAAACATGACTTATAGGAAAAGGCTGATAAACAAAGGAAGCACATTTGTACATATAAGAGGCAAGGATAATTTTACTCAGTGGCCACCTGAAAGAAACTTGTTCTACTTTCTACTTTGTCAGGTTCTATCTCCCTTGTAATTTCAGCCAGTGCCTAGCAGGATAGCAGAAAGCTGCCAGAGGAAGCCAAATATTATCACAAACTGTTATGTTTGCAAGTTAGAATTAAATGCCTAACCAAACTGCTCTCTTTAGATAGATAGATAGATAGATAGATAGATAGATAGATATCTCCATATTCAATTCATTATGGCCCAAAGTAATTTTCTTGAAGAGCAAAGGTGCAGGTTACCTTGTTTTCCATTGGCTACATCTCCAATTAAACTACAGATGGTGAAGGGGTCATGATCAGGTATGAACCAGACAATATTTTTACTCTCCAAAGGATACAATATCTGATGTATTTTCCATGTCATGGATCTCACTTTGGTGGACTAGGGAGGATTGACTGGCAGTCTCTCTACACAGATTCTATTGTTTACCTTTACCTTACCTACTGGCAAGTGAAGGTATTTTCATCTCCTGTTGCGAATACTGACCGACATTTACTCTTTTGATTATGTTGTTTTAGCCCAGGGAAGAACTTCAGGCCAAACTCCTTTATCTGGGCTCAAAACTCTCCCCAAGACACACCCCTCCCTGGCCCTGCTTCACTCCATTGGTTTCTGCCCGGCGGGAATACGTTCTTACACCTCTGTCCTATGTCCAGATAAGTACGTGTGCATTTAGAAACTAGCTGACTGTGACCCTTTGTAACATTTACCTCCATTCATCAATTCACTTTGCTTCCAGACCCGTTCACTTGCACACAAGTCCCAAAATGTTGCCCAAAAGGATATGATGCCATTTGGCTAAAAACGGTTTCCCAACCTTGCTTTACTCAAAGACCCAAATTAAATAAAAACAATTCATTTATTTGGAGCATTTGTACCCCACTCTCCAACTAAAAATGTTCACAGAGTCGCTTACAGACCTTGCCTGCAGGCTTCCCATCTCAAAACACAAGGGGCAAGGGAGAAAAGACCAAAAAGCAACTCGGGTGCCAATTATTAAAGATTAGTTTTCACAATGACCAGCTGGCCTAGAAACAGCTCAGAGGCAGGAGGCACCTGATGGAGCTGGTCTTTTGGCTGGTTGATGGAATGAGCCCTGCTTCCTACCTCCCCCACCTGTGGCAGCCTGATGGAATGGCTGCTGCCTGGTGGTAGTTGAGGGAGAGGAGGCCCAATAGAGTAGACATGTATAGGATTGTACTGTTGCAGTGGTAACAGCTTGAATTGTACTTTTTGCTTACCATATTCCAAATTGTGTGTCCTAGACGGTATTTTAGAGAAAAGCTAATTACTAATTAGGTTTGAAAACAGGCTCGCTTTTGTCATTCTCATGTATGAGGGAGAATGTGTACATTTACTCAGCCTAATTTGCAGATAAATACAGAACATGACTTGCAATGGTCCAAGTGGTTAATCAGCAAACAATGGTACTGGCCAATGGTAAAGTAAGTCCATAAATTATCCACGGTACAAAAAGTGCCACAACATATAATATTGCCTCAAAACATTTATTTCAGGAAAATGAGCAAATATACATATTTAATACCTGAGAGGTAAAGACAAGATTGAATTCACTTATCAGAGCAGGCAGATAAGATGGCAAACAATAGCACAACAGCTCTGTAACTCACTTATGTACATTGTAACATCCCTCAAGGGTATTTACAAAATAATCCAGAATCTATGCACGGACTGAGCACATGTTGCCGCTCATAACAAGAGCCTGTTTGATTCTGAAGGTGGCACTGATGGCATATATTTAAGGCATAACACTGCAAAGTGATGATATACAGGTGAATCTGTCCCGCTGATTAGGTTATGTTTGCATAATGCACAAAAGCAGCAGCTCTTTTATCAGCTCAGTCTTCAAAGTAAAACTGACTGGTAAGGATTTAAAAACACCAAAAGATGAATTTGAAGAATAAACCCGGCTCTCATCTCCACCACACTGATGGGGAAAGATGATAAACATGGAGAAAGGACATGTGCCGCAAGCTCAAGTCAACACTGAGCAATTGATCCTACTCTGAAACTTACCTGTAGAAAGCAGAAACACTGAAATATCTTCTTTCCCATTCATTATGGTTTACAACACTTTAGCAATAGGCAATATGCTGTACAAGATGGAAGCATGCCATGGGACAAATACATTTATACAGATGTGACCACACAGGCTAGACATGTCTCCAGTTCTAGCTCCACAATCACAAGCACAATGTTGAGACAGTCATAGAATCTATCAGGTATGAGGATGTGAGAGTCTGCAAGCGAGCAGCTAAGAAGAACACACAATAAACTGCAGAGCACTATAAATGAAGACAGGACTTGGCTAGGTTCCTATACAATCACTTTATAATTTATTTGTCTTCAAGTCTGTTTGGTGAATGCTTTCCTTAACTACTCAGCATGAAGACAAGATCTTCAATAAAGTACACAAACAAGATTCCATGCAGCACCCATCTGAAGTCTCAAGTAGAAGAAAAGGGGGGAAATCTAGAAACAGCAGCATTTTACTATCAATAACTCGCAAAGAGTAAATTTTGAAATACTTAGCATGAAGTTCCAAAGGATGCTGCTTTTGGAAGAGTCATCATTCTAGATCATTTCAGTACTATGTAAACATGAATAGATGGGGCATGATTTCTTCCCCATGCAAGAGCAATGCCTGCACACAGAGGAGTCTCCAAGGGATTTAACAGATATCTTCCCCCTGACCCTCAACAAGCAATTACAAGGAATTTGAGGTCTGTACATGCCAGCTCTGCTCAGTGAAGGAACATGAGCTCAGATTCCTTGAGTTGGGGAGGAGAGGGAAAAGAGGAATGGATGGAAATACATGAGACATTCAAGGACCTCCATAATGGTATGGCATGTTAGACAGGGTGCTAAATGCAAGATTCTGCTATACATTATGAGATCTCTCTGTGTGCAACCACTGCACTCACACATGTAGGGTTTCAGAGAATACTTTTACAGATAATTGTGCATTACTTTCTATATTGGTTGATGTATTCAAGAGAAGTAATTTTGGTACACAGTAGTTAAATGGAACCAAAATACTGCTTAGACGATTAATTAAATCAAATTAAGAACGGGAGTGCCTAAATTCTGCATGACAATTTATCTTAGGCATTATTCGCTTGAAAGTAAATAAACTTCTAAGAAAATAAGTCTGTTTGGACTATTTTGCTGCATTTCCTATAAAAGTCTGACTTTTAAAGAAATGTACTTACACTGGAAAAGCCAAAAGTGATCAAATTGTCCTATCCAACTGAGATTTCTGAAAGCAAGGATAACCCTGAGAAAGCATTTGCTTAGGACTACAGCTGCATGAGTACTCCTCTGCACGATTAAGCAGGGCAAAGCTTAGCCTGCAGAGGGAGTCATTTCAGCAGCTATGCACAAAGCACAGTCTATAATATAGCATAAGGCTGGAATGATACCCAAACGGAGACATGAGGGAATTAAAAGAACAGCTTGTAAAATAAGCACACTCCTTCCTGCAGTGCAGTTTACCAGCTTCAGAGATCAACTATTCAAAGGCAGTTGCTTTGTGGATTGAGAAGCACCATCAGGCATTTCTTCTTGCCTCACCTCGATAGATTCTCTGCTGATTGTTAAGAGTTTTCTCAACTCTTTATTTTCAAGCTATAAAACCAATAAAAACAGTTTCAAACCTATGAGCAAAGCAGTGACAGTTATATAAGTGCTAATATAAGATAGTACTAAATCCAGACCCTTGGCAAATGTAAATAAACAAATAAATATTGGTCTCATTTATTAGACAAAAATAGCAAGAGAAAACATTAATGATTTACAGATCCATTTCTATCAGCACTTTCACAAGTTGTGTTGTACTAAACCTGTGTTGGCCAAGTTGACTGATAATTGCCAGCTTGGTGATCTAACATCCATTTTAAGAACTGCTCAAACTCCTATTCTGGACACAGCCTGGGGCTTATGTGTATTTCTTCTCTGTTGCCATGACAACAAGAACCTAGCAAGCACACACACAGCTTCCTGGCCTAGTTATTTATTGACCACCAACCTTGAATGTCCTTTAAATGCTCTGCAAGAATTTTTCAAGAGAGTCAAGATCACCCCATTGCTGCCAAGTAGCCACCTTATTACAGTGGTGCCTCGCAAGACGAAATTAATTCGTTCCGCAAGTTTTTTCTTCTTGCGAGTTTCTCGTCTTGCCAAGCACGGTTTCCCATAGGAATGCATTGAAAATCAATCAATGCGTTCCTGTGGAAACAGACTTCAGACCAGGTCCGGGGACAGTCTGTCCCCCGACCTCTTCTGAAGGCTGGGGGGGGGGCAAGGGCTTTTCTTCCCACCCCCAGCATTTTAAAAAACCCTGGGACAGCGGAGACTTCTCCGCTGTCCCGGGGCGATCTTAAAATGCTGGCGGGCGGCAGCGAAGCCTCCACTGCCGCCCGCCAGCATTTTAAAAACCCCCGGGACAGCGAAGGACTTCTCCGCTGCCCGGGGCGATCTTAAAATGCTGGCGGGCGGCAGCGAAGCCTCCGCTGCCGCCCGCCAGCATTTTAAAAAACCCCGGGACAGCGGAGGACTTCGGGGGACAGCGGAGGAAAGTCTTTGCTCCCCCCCCCCCGCCTGCCTTCAAAAGCCGTCCGGGATAGCGGAGAAACGAAGGCTGGCGGCGGGAGGAGGTCTCTCCGCCCCGCCGCCAGCCTTCGGAGGAGGTCCGAGGACAGTGGGGAAGACGCGCTGCGCTTCCCCGCTGTCCCGGAGATTTCCCTATGGGCTTTCGTCTTGCGAAGGAAGCCCATAGGGAAATTCGTTTTGCGAAGCGCCTCCAAAACGGAAAACCCTTTCGTCTAGCCGGTTTTCCGTCTTGAGAGGCGTTCGTCTTGTGGGGCACCACTGTATTCCTGGTTCTGTTCAAATTGTTCAATGATTTAGTGTTTATACCAAAGCGAAACTGTCAACGTAAGACTCCCTCAGTGGCTTTTTATAAGCTTGCCACTTAAGATATTGATTGGTCCAGTTTACCAGGAGAGGGGCACACACACATTCTGTCCAATCCTGAATGTTTTCCTAAAGAGCAGGACTCTAATCCCCATCTCCTGTGGAAGCTGTTTTCCTACAGCAAAAGGACACATATGGCCAGATTATAATATCAGACTGACAGATCCTTTGTTTGGAGATTGGTTTCCTGGTTTGGTTGTCATGATTATCTCTCATTAAGAGTGACAAACAGGGACAACTGCTCATAGAGAAATCCAGGACTTAAATTGTTGTACTAATTTAGCAGCAGCATACTTCTTCCAATCAAGGCCAACTTGTCTGGAGAATGAAGTTTTAAAAAATACACTAAAATGGTGCCAATACAAAAGCTATCCAGTGTTATTATCCTCATATTGCTGGTTTGGTGAGATAGTATTTCACAACAATGCTGTACCTTCGTATTTAAGATTCCCTTAAAGGCAGCTAGAAAAATATATATCTAGCAACCATTTGGAGTGGCTGCAGTAATTGATCCTGGTTTGGACTTTTTAAAAAACGGAGGCTTTGCTCAAGTTTCCTACACATAAATGCAGAGAAATCCAAATGATCTGGGGTGCTGTGGGGTGGAGGGGAGCGGTGAACCCACTATGGATCATCTGAAGCCCTGGAATGGGGCAGTTGAACTTAGACCCCTTGGGGGATTCATGGGGCTTTGGTCCAGCACATCGAAAGCCACAGATACCCCAGTGTGGTGCAGTGGTTAAGAGCGGTGGACTCGTAATCTGGTGAACCGAGTTCGCTTCCCCACTCCTCCACATGCAGCTGCTGGGTGACCTTGGGCCAGTCACACTTCTCTGAAGTCTCTCAGCCTCACTTACCTCACAGAGTGTTTGTTGTGGGGGAGGAAGGGAAAGGAGAATGTTAGCCACTTTGAGACTCCTTAGGGTAGTAATAAAGCAGGATATCAAATCCAAACTCCTCCTCCGCCAAACAAAAACATCCTGTTTCAGAACTTTCTGTTGACTATCTAGGCGGAAGAACCACTGGTGGCAGCTCTCCACCTGACTAGGTGACCCTAGGGCCATCTGGCAACACTCCTCCTTGCCAATGGAAAAGTACCCCGCTCCTCCCACAATAAACTGTAGTGAGGTGTCATCAGTACTGTGGTGATACCAAGCTCCATTTTTCTGTAACATCTGAATTGGGAGTGGTTGTGTAGGCCCCAGACCACAGTCTGGGTGCAGTGATGGGCTGGATGAGGGTTAATAAACTAAGTTTGAATCCTTTTTTGTGGAATAACATCCCTATTGAGGTATAACAGGCACCCATTATTTGTACTTTCTAGAAACTGAGGATAGTTTTGTTTGAACAAGCTTTTCCAGCTGGATGAAAAGGTTTCTGTTTTAGAGGTTTATTTTGCATTATTTTTAAACCTATCTTTAGTTGTTTTTGTTCAGCTTTTAAAACTATTTTAGCTGTTTTTATTGTATGTCTGTAAACTGCCTTCGGACTCATGTAAAAAGCAGTGCATAAAATAGTAATAATTTTTAGAGGTGCTGAAACATTACCACTATTGGCACTTGCCTGAGGAGCTTGGAGTCATGGCAGTTCCTTAAGGAGGGAATTGAAAGGAAAATAAAATGAACCATAAGTTTCATTTTATTTGCTTTTCGGTGTTCACAGACAGTGCCATTCTACTTTCACAGGCTCCCTCTGCAACTGACTTTCAAAGCAGAAATATATAAAAATATTAATAAAAATTGTCCAGTAGCACCTTAGAGACCAACTAAGTTTGTTCTTGGTATGAGCTTTCGTGTGCATGCACACTTCTTCAGCTTCTTCAGATATGAAAACTCATACCAAGAAGAAACTTAGTTGGTCTCTAAGGTGCTACTGGACACACACACACACACACACACATATATATATATACACTGCATCAGACCAACATGGCTACCTATCTGACTTTCAAAGGGGAGGGATAAGCTAAGATTCTGATTATCCACCTCAACTACTGTTTCTTAATCATGTGAGAAAGCTTCAGTGGTTGCATGGTGCTCCTTGCTGTACCTAGTCGTAAGGTTCTACTGAATGCTGTATCCCCCAATTAACCTGCTTAATTGCCAACTTGAAACCGTATTTTCATACTATGCAGCTCCAGTAAATTCATGTGTCCCATATCAGAGTGAAGCAACAGAATTTTCAGTAATTCAAGCCTGACTCAAAGAGTTGCGGCCTCTTAACTTGCAGTTTTAAGGGCTATGATACGGAGCAGCATTCTGCAAGTGCAGATTCTACTTTCATGATGCTCAGCTGCCAGCTTTCCTATCTCATCAGCTGTACCAGGACTACAGCAGGAGGACTTCAAGGCAGGCATTGGCTTTTAACAAAGCAGCAATCAACTCTAGTTTAGGCTTGGAGGCTGAAAGAACCCTTTGACAAGGCACAAGACTCCCTGTTTTCTATCCCCAACTACAGTTGTTCAGCATCTTACCTCTAACTGTGCTAGCTTTTCTTGTATTTTATAATACTGGTCATTGTCCACATGAACAGCTTTTCTTATTACGTCTCCCATCTCACAGATCCTGTCGATTTGACTCTCAATTTCCTGTAAGCAGATTTGAAAGCAAAATTATAAACTATTAAAAAGAAAAACAAGTTAAATCAGACATTTCCAAAGAAAAGTCAATGAACACAGAACCAAAGAGTCATGTCTTCATCCTTCCCTCACTGGACCTAGTGCTGTCATATTGTACATCTGAGCTTCTTCCTGAACTGTGCTCTACTGTGCCTTCTGTCATATTCCCATGTTGGTTCCCTTAACTGGCGGTGTGGTAAAACCAAAGTCTCATTTGCTGTCACAAATAGAGGAGAGGGATTGTTACAGAATGTGGCAGGAGGTACTGGAACTGCATGTTCTCCTGCTATCCCAGAAGGTTTAAGAGGGAAGATCAGATCTTCAGGTTGCAATCTGACAGAATTAATTACAACATACTGGCTGCTTTAAGGTAGTGGTGGTGGTGAGAATCTCTTGGATCTTATAACTGGTATGTATTTTTGCAAGCAGTACGAAAACAAATTAAGGGTATCTCATGGCATTTTACAATACTGAAGTCACAAAGAACTGCAATTATATATTGTGTGTGTGTGTGTGTGTGTGTGTGATATCAGGTAATTTTCTTTATAAGAATTCTAAGGAAGATACCTTGTGGATGAGTTGCAACACTTTATTTTACAAAGAGAAGGCACTTGTGACCTGTGAGCACTAATGGAAGGAAGATGTTTCAGAGAACAAACTCTTGAGGAAAATGTAAAAGAGGCAAGAAAAAAACATCATTGGAACAGAGCACAACAACTAAGCCACTCATCTTTATTGCTATTGAAAACTTATTCTTTTTATTCCAGAAAGAAGATAATAGAAAGGAAGGAAGATCATAATTCCTTACTGCAGACTGAGCTTGATGCACTTTCAAAATTGGCTGAGCATCCACATCTTTTCTTTTCATCATCAGCTGTAACATGTGTTTCCTATATTTGCTCATAATAAGTTCCAAAGCATCCTGGTGTTCTTCCAAAGAAACCCACAGTTCTGAAAAATATAACATAAATTCCATGCAAATACAAGGAAGAAACTTCATATTGTAAGGTCACATTAAGGCTGTATAACTTCCCTGTGCATCCTACCTCTCCATCTTCTATACATACAATAATTTTCAAATCCTTACGTTTTCTTAGCCCACTGGTAATAATAATAATAATAATAATAATAATAATAATAATAATAATAATAATAATTTATTATTTATACCCCGCCCATCTGGCTGGGCTTCCCCAGCCACTCTGGGCAGCTTCCAAAAGAATATTAAAATACTATAATACATCAAACATTAAAAGCTTCCCGAAACAGGGCTGCCTTCAGATGTCTTCTAAAAGCCTGGTAGTTGTTGTTCTCTTTGACATCTGGTGCGAGGGTGTTCCACAGGGAAGGCGCCACTACCGAGAAGGCCCTCTGCCTGGTTCCCTGTAACTTGGCTTCTCGCAGTGAGGGAACCGCCAGAAGGCCCTCGGTGCTGGACCTCAGTGTCCGGGTAGAATGATGGGGGTGGAGACGCTCCTTCAGATATACTGGACCAAGGCCGTTTAGGGCTTTAAAGGTCAGCACCAACACTTTGAATTGAGCTCGGAAACGTACTGGGAGCCAATGTAGGTCTTTCAAGACCGGTGTTATGTGGTCTCTGCGGCCGCTCCCAGTCACCAGTCTAGCTGCCGCGTTCTGGATTAGTTGTAGTTTCCGGGTCACCTTCAAAGGTAGCCCCACGTAGAGTGCATTGCAGTAATCCAAGCGGGAGATAACCAGAGCATGCACCACTCTGGCGAGACAGTCCGCGGGCAGGTAGGGTCTCAGCCTGCGTACCAGATGGAGCTGGTAAACAGCTGCCCTGGACACAGATTTGACCTGTGCCTCCATGGACAGCTGTGAGTCCAAAATGACTCCCAGGCTGCGCACCTGGTCCTTCAGGGGCACAGTTACCCCATTCAGGACCAGGGAATCCTCCACACCTGCCCGCCTCCTGTCCCCCAAAAACAGTACTTCTGTCTTGTCAGGATTCAACCTCAATCTGTTAGCCGCCATCCAACCTCCAACTGCCTCCAGGCACTCACACAGGACCTTCACTGCCTTCACTGGTTCTGATTTGAAAGAGAGGTAGAGCTGGGTATCATCCGCATACTGATGAACACCCAGCCCAAATCCCCTGATGATCTCTCCCAGCGGCTTCATGTGCCTTATGAACACGATTTCTTACTCTTATAATAAGAATTAAATTTTCTGAAATTTCAAGAAATTCCTTATGGGTCTGGCCTTCCTTAACTGTACAGTGCTTCACCTATTGATTCAAACTCGGATATATGTGCAGCACTTATTCAGTTTTGTTTCCAGACCAATACTGTGCACATCTACTTGGATATAAGCCCCATTTTGTTCAAGATGTGTCTGTTCAGGATGGCAGTCTTGGGAAATCCTACTGTCGCTATCATGCTCTCAAGAGCCGATCCATCTGACATACATTAATGGCCAGCACACAAAGGCTGTAAACTGCAGTCTTTGTGTACTGAACTGAATTAGGTGTTAATTCAGCCCAAACATGCACAACTTAAATTTTTAGATTAGTTACAATTGGCAGAAACCATCAATTAGAATATATTGAAACTTTTACTGGCCCCAGCACCCTGAAGTTTTCCAAAGTTTTAAAAGAAAAACTCATCAATTCATGAAGTTTAAGGTACAGTAATAGATCATAAACATCAATACTGCCATGCTATTCAGGTTCAGACTATATTTTGGAGGCAGTGGGGAAAGTGATCAGGTTAAAGAATGGAAATGGGTGCCAGTTTTTTAAAAAAGGACTGTAGGTGAAATGTGTGCATGCCATAGAAATAGAATTTTATTATCAAGCTTTAAAGACAGCTTTCACCAAGAATGCAATTGAATAAGGAACTGGTACTGAGAAGAATATTTGGGCAGGTATCCAGATATATTTTTGTGCTACAGCACAAAATGTGGCATTCATCAGGTGCCACACACCACTTAGTATGAAGGAATTACGGTAGATCAGTAGTCACACTTAAGACATTAGTCCCACAGAAATCAATAGAACTTAAAGTATGTATGTTTAGGACTAGGATGCTTGTGAAATGAGCAACCATATCCAAGGACTAATCCTGTTTAGAGCTGTGACTAGACCACACAGGCATGGATGCTCTTTACATCCTTCAGTTCAAGACAAACCATCAGTGGTGCAGGCTTGCATTATGTTCTGGTTAACCCTTGCAGCCAAACAAGTCACTTGAGGGCTCATAGTTACCTCGCTAACACAATGCTCACCTCTGTTTTCCTGCTGCAAGTCTCTGATTTGAGTGTTCTCCTGAGATAGCAGAATATGAGGTTTGTATTTAGACATGTCCTTCAGCTCAGCTCCGTCCTCTTGATACTTGTAAAGGAAAGATGGTCCATGTGAACCCAGAGCAGTCTAATAATATCCATACAACATTCCACTCACCCCGACCCACGTTTTCACGCTGACACTGCTGGGTCTGTGCTCACCTTGTGCGAAAGAGGCGTGCCGGCCTCCTTCATGGACACAACCCGCTTGTGCAACATGGTAGACTGGTCAATGAGAGACTCAGCTGCGTTGTCGTGGTCTTTCAGCCTTTCCAGCAGGGTCCTCGCATCGGTCAGGATCTTCTCTATAGTACAGGCCATTGTCAGAGAACTGAAAGGAGAACGGACCGGGTTAAGATTCAAGAGCTATCAAGGCCAGGCTCAGAGTATGTGAGGCTTTGAAATATGTGGTGTAACGGTTAAGAGTGTTGGACCAGGACCTTGGAGATCAGGGTTCGAATCCCCCCTCAGCCATGAAGCTCACTGGATGACCTTGGGCCACTCCCCATCGTTTAGCCTAACCTACCTCACAGGGTTGTGGAGAGCAATGAAGCAGAGAAGAGGAGAAGCAGGTACACCACATAAATGTAATAAATAAATATTACGGTGGGGTGTTTTTTTTGGGAGGGCGGAGGTGTCTTCGTACGAAAGCACTAGAGGAGGCTGGGACACAGAACTGGCCACACGACATGGGTGCCCCCAGCTCCACTCTGTGTGCTCTAGGGAGGTCTGTGCGTGCCCTAGGAAGGGCAGACAAGCAGGGTCCGGTTTTAGTGGCCTCCCAGGGAGGCAGCACCTTCCGCGTCCGACATGGAGTGAATGGGAGAAAGGAGGCAACATAGCATTGCGGCCGTTCCCAGTCCCGGGCGACCCCGAGGCAGCCCCTCGCCCTTCCCAGGAGGCGACCCCCGGTCCGCGCCCTCCTACTTACCCCCTCCGGCGCGCCTCCCGCTCCGGCTTCCCCTCCTCCGGCCGTCAGCGAAGAGGGTCCCGGCTCCGAGGCACACTAGGGGGGCGCAGAGGTCACAGGCTCCGCGCTCCGGCCGCCGCCGCCGCCGCTTCCGGTATGAAGTTTCCTTCCTCTCCGAGTCAAGGGAAATTCATAGCTCTCCGGAGAAACTTCCGGTTTCCGGTTGCAGGCGGCGGGCGCTTCGCCGAGGCTCCCCTTTGGGTTGCGGAAATCCAACAGGTGGAGCCGTCCTGTTCCTTTGGCGGAGCAGCGACCGGGGAAGGCTGTGCCTGCAGCATCTCTCCGGCCTGCAGCCTCGTAAGGGGCCCGGCGGTTCCGCTAGCAGGAGCTAAACGCTCAAGATCAGTTGTCAGGCGCAGCCTCGTAGCTTGAAAGCTCCGTGTCAAGTTCTGGTTCAGGCATCGGGTGCGCGCGACCACGTCCGTGGGTTTGATTTCGTTATTCACAGCCGCAGTCCTGTACCTGCTTGCCATGTAGGACTTGCTTCTGAGTAGACATGTATAGGGATTGCGCTGTAAGCGAGAATCCTCTGCTCATCGAGGGGGTAGGGGAGACCGCATTGGAGGCAATGGATTTACTTTTGAGTAGGCACGTGTAGGCTTGTGCTGCTCTTTAAAATCAGTTCAAATGCAGCGCTTTCCAATTCCATTTGTTTTAG